ATATATATATATATATATATATATATATATATATATATATATATATAGAGAGAGAGAGAGAGAGAGAGGGCGAGGGGGGAGAGAGATGCTGAGAGCAACCATAGCAGGTTAATTTATTTGTTATTTACTTAATTTGCTTAAATATTCATTTATTTAGATTTTTTTTTTTTTTTTTTTTTCTCGGAGTTGGTTATCATATTTGTTTAATTTAAGGTATTAGCTTTCTCTAAGTTTAAGGTATTTGGCTTTGTCTAAACTGTGTGACATTATCTGTGTTATATGTAGTGTATATATTTGCATTTATCATGATGGTATTTTAAAAGTTATTCACGTTTAGTTTTCAACCATCTAAGTAAATAATAAAACAAATTAACACACTACGAATGCGCTCATAAATACAAGTAAATGTAATAAGTATCAACAACAAATTAACCAGTATTAAATAACGAGTAAAAAGTTAAAGAACCCTATAAAATAGCTACAAATATCCGCATTCGAATCCATAATTATTTCTACTCAATGGCCTCTAGATAAAATTGAATATATAACTGTTACCGCCTAGCCAATAACCACTAGGTTAATATTACAGACGTTGCTACCCATAAAGCACCAATAAGCAGGGTAAGAAAGGAAAGCAACAACGTAAGGACAGTTACACTATTGTTATTGAATTTTCGACAACAACGATAAAACTTCCAACCTCTCTATTTTATATGAATAGATTCTTGCAAAATGCATAAAAAAATGACTGGATTTCTCAAGAAACATAGGGGCCTAAGAAATTAATGCTGTTCGATTGATATGAACTGGAAGGCCATTGGAAGAAGTCGTTTAGATTCAATGTATCTCGTACAAATGAAAGTTTTCTTCTCGGAGAACAATGTTTACGACATACAGTTTTCCGAGAAGAGAAACTGGATGCTTTGAAAACCAACATTCCAAATACGACTTTTTTTTTTTTTTATTTATCTGGGCTTGTGAACGATAGAGGTAACTATGACGTTATATACGAAACAGAAAAAATGGCTACAGAATGGACAAAGAAAGAAAGAAAGCAACAAGCTTATTGAAAGAAAGAAAAAAGAAAGTCACAAGAGTATAAAAAGAAAGAAAAAAGAACAAGATTAAAGAAAGAAATGAAAAAAGAAAAAAGAAAGAAAAAAGTAATAGGGGTATAGAAAGAAAGAGGTGGAAGGAAAACGGAAGAAAGAAAGATGAAAAAGAAAGAAAAAGCCTAAATAAATAAAGAAATAAATAACATGATTATAGATAGAAAGAAAGAAAGAAAGAAAGAAGAACGGAAAAACGAGAGAAAGATCAAGAGTAAAGAACGAAAGAAAGATGAAAAATAAAGAAAGTAACAAGACTATATGTTAGAAAGAAAGAAAAATGGAAGAAAAAAGAGCAAGAATAAAGAAAGAACACGATTATAGAAAGAAAGAAAGAAAGAAAGAAAGAACAAGCGTATAGAAAGAAAAAAGAGAAAAGAAAAAAAAAGGAAAAGAAAGAAATGATAGTCTTATAGTGTAGCTGAATGAAGATTAATCTCACTGTTTTTGTGATGTCTCCTTCTAGTTCTGTTCGTATAAGTACCCCGTTGTATAAATGTTCACAAATGAATGACGTCAGTAGTGATTGATATGACAAGTTAAGTCAAATTCGTTTTGAGTGTAACTTAGTGGAAGACAAACACTACAGTTCACATGACCAGATATTTTTTCTCTCAGTTTCTGGTGGAAATAAATACATTCAGAGTGATAACAGTTTATTAAAAACTTCTCCATATTTATAACAGATACAGGCAAAAAGAAAAAAAAACAAGTACCTTGGTTCGATTAGTCGAAGTAAAACCTCAAATACTTATTAAAGTTTTTGTCATACAAATTGCCCCGACTGAAAGGTTTTGCGTGAAAACCCTCCTAATCAGTTAGCCTTGCGCCGTACAACTTATTAATAACTTGAAAGAATTTGTTATTTTGTTTACAAAATTAAAAAATTACTTCGTTTCATAAAAGCGTATGTTCGTTTATCGTGTTAGATGGAAATAGAAATATTTAGTTCTAACGAATTTCATTAAAAAGACGGTATTCATAAATGTGATATTAACTTTTTATTTATGAATATTAGTGGATTATTCTTGTTTATTTTAGCCAAAAATCAAATCACATTTCTTCCCCGTCTTTTGAACAGGAGTTGAGGTTTATCACTTGTTTCTTGTTTAGGATTGAGTTTCCAGTTTCTTTTAAGGTCGTCTCATTCTCTTTCACTCCCAGTAACCTCCTTGAGTCTTAGTGGCATTATCGCCATCTTCTGTCTTCTTAAAATTTGTTCTTTTATTGTCCTTTCTCCTCACTAGAGTCTTCTCCTTCTCTTTCACTCCCAGTAACCCCCTTGCGTCTCAATGGCATTATCGCCATGTTTGGAGTAAAATGATTGCTAAAAAAAAGCTGGGATTATGAATTTGCTTTAAAGATTTCCGAATATATTAAACAGTAAAAAATAAAAGAAGAGTTTGTGGATTTCACTTCAAACTTCCTGCTTTCCAGTCAACTTTAATCTTCAAAAATTTAAATGAAATGTCCATCGTTATCTTCTGTCTTATTAATTCCTAATCTCTCTACTTAATATTTTTCTTTATTTTCCGTTTTCCCATATTCTCTTACACTCAATAACCCCTTGTGTTTTAGTGGCTTTATTTCCTTGCTTAGGGTGAAATGATTTTTTTTTTTTTTTTTAAATATTTGAACATAAAATTATTTTTTTAATTTTTATTTAATCAGCGGACTTTTTTTTTTCGATTGCCCAAGAGATAACTAGATGGTTCTATCGGAATTTACCTTATGGCCAAAATAGTTATGGATACTTTCCATTAATTCTTTGCCACGAGACTACTTCACTAGTAATAGAATATTAAATGTTTTTATTTCATTATCTTTCAGCACAAACCTCTTCCTACCCTCAGTATTTTAACGATCAAACAAACTACGTTTACGTAATAAAAATTCGTTGAAAAAATGCTATAGTAAAGGTTTAGAGATGATTTTCAATAGAAATGCAAGAGTTGATTTAGAAGTCAGGTTTTCGTCTATAAAACAAGTTTGACACCAAATAGAACAATAAATCTCGTGTCAAAAATGAAGTTATTTTTATCTCTTCAAAATTACGTTTATTTTTTAAAGAACAGTCATTATTTCTGTTACGAATTTTCTAAAAGCTTTCTCTCCGTCTATGAAAATGTTTTTGGATTACCTTGGTTCTAATTTAACAGAGTAACTATAATTTCAACTGATGGCCGCTTGATGTATTTTCTCAATTTCAGAAACTACTAAAATCGGGGTCTGGCTATAATTTACTATAGAAATACATCTGCTATAGAAATAGGACAATAAAAAAAAACTACTATAAAATTAGATTCACTGATATATATCTTCTACAAAAAATTGACATGCTTTGTCATGTTGGTTTTCTTTGCAAGTTGAAAGGTTATGGTATTTCTGGACGAATTTTTTTTACCTGATTCAATCTTTTTTATCTACCCTTCTTGAATATTTTGTATTGTATCAGGTGTTCCCAGGGCTGTGTCCTTTGACCTACGTTGTTTCTAATTTTCATCAACGACCTTGCTGATAACATCAGTTCTTAAGTTGGTATCTATATTGACGAAACAACTATTTACACTTGTCTAATGGTAAGTTTAGTCATTTCTATACGGTCAAATTGGCAGCTGATGTAAAAAATGACCTACAATCTGTTGTTAACTGGGGCGAGAAATGGTTTGTTTACGCCTCCAAAACTAAACTGCTCTGTTTTAAACGTCTGATAGAAAATGTTTGTACCATTTATCAGTATGACTTGTGCTAACCTCCAAGAATGTGGCCCATTGCCCCTTCACTTTCTAAGGTTTTACGTTGGCATGAAATGGAAATATTATATTGAATCAGTTACTAGGTCTTTGACAATTATTTGGCATAATCTATCTTACATAATTATAAGTCTATTTGTTCAAACATTGAATATTGCTGTCACATCTGGTCTGTTACTTCTGCTATGTATTATTCCTGAAAAAAACAAAGAAGAATCTGCAATTTTATTGGTCCTGACATGACATCTCGGCTTCAATCACTTTCCCACCGCCGTAACGTGGCTTCCTGTGCCTTTTATTTATATATTTCCATGGTAATTATTCTGATGAGCTTTGGTACTTAGACTATATCAGTTTAAGCACAGTACTAGATTGGACAGTACCATAGCTGGTAACTTAAGCACAACGCTATAGCTGGTACCCTAACAAGTGTTACCAACCCGTGCTAGTATGGACCTGAGGACGACAGCAATTAAGAGGCCATTACACACTGCTCAAAACCTCCAGCATCCCGATCAAAAGACTTGCTGCCTGATGTAGTTTATCATCCTACCCAGGAATGTTTGACATCGAAATATCTTACATAGGAATGGTAAAAATTTTATACAGGGTGCGGAAGAAATACCTTACAAATAATTGTGAGATTAACTAGATGAAGACATCATTGCCAATAATATCTTAACATTATGCGGAACATATTTCCGGGAGCCATTTCTGTTGTACCCTGTGGATATCACACACGAGCTTGAATACAGCTATACAAATTGTTGCGCTCTGAAATCGTCGTAAAAAATTTAATCAAATATCAGAATCCCCATTTTAAACAAAGGGGAAGTTATGGAACTGAATTATCTGTTGCACTGTCCCTTCAGACATGATTTTTCTTGATTAATATTTTCTCACTTTCACTCTACGCATGGGAGTAATTAAGATAACGCCATAAAAAAATCTCACATTTAGAATTTAATCTCCATACTGTCATGGAGATATTTTCAGAAATTATTTTTCTCATGGGAACAATGTATTAAAAACAACCAATTTCACATGACAGGTATTCCTTTTAATATCCATTTGAATTTTCATTCTTGGTGTTCGCTTATGTTAATATTGGGGAACGCCGTGGTACAAGTCTCTTGAGATATAACCTTTTGCAGCTATATCAAGAATTTCAAACAATGCGGTGTTGGGTTTACGAAATATATGTGGACGGCCTTGCTAGTATCTGCAGTCTGGAGAAATATTTACCCAAACATATGTAATAATAATAATAATAATAATAATTCAGAGAAGTACGCTATTTAAGAAATGAAAAAAAAAACGAAAAAAAAAAAAACAATGTTTGGCAATGTTAAACAATATTTCGATAGCATTTGTCATATTAAAAAAAATGTATAAAAATAAATAAATCAGCAAAAGAGTCTTTGGGCAAACGTTGCTTGTCTATGATTTATTACTGATATAGTAATTGTGGCACAAGGTTGAAAAAGCAGGGAGTGTTCAAGGTTGGTCATCACTAGCTATCTTATAGCGAGCTAATCGGATTTACGACCCATTCATTCTTTACAATAAACTCATTCACCAAATGAATTTATCCGTCACCATTCACCCCTTCATACACCAAAATACCTTACGCACACTTGGTAACTACTAGGGAAAAAAACCACGCCACGAGTTAAAAATCCCAATATGTACACTTGTATATAATATATATCGTCATCTACAGACAGGCTGTTTCGCAGTATCAAAGCGAAATATATGTGAACGGCCCATACGGAAATATATGTGGCTAGATATCCGATCGCTTCAAGCCGGGACCGAAAACCGACCGATTAGGCATCAGTCGGAGATTCTAACCCCTAGGTTATCGGCGCCCGGTAGAGAGAAATGCGAATTTTTTGCGTCATTATTTTTGCATGCATACATACATACATACATATATATATATATATATATATATATATATATATATATATTCATAAACACAGACATATATATATATATATATATATATATATATATATATATATTAAGAAATGGACAAGGTCCGACAATTTATTTATTAAAGACATTTTTTTATGTTTAACGTTGTTATTTATAGATACAATATTTAAGCAAATGCTCTGTTTATGATAAACAGTATTAAATAACATTTACCGGCCTGAATGTCCGAGAAATTTTCATAGAAAATATTTGTTATGAAAATTTCTCAGAAATTCAACAACGTTAAACATAAAAAATTCTTTAATAAATATATATATATATATATATATATATATATATATATAAATAAATATATATATATATATATATATATATATATATATATATATATATATATATATATATATATATATATGAAAATTATATATTTCATCTCGCCCAAATTGGGCGTACCTGAGGAGAATGATAGAAGGCGTGCGAATCCGTGTCCTCTAAGCCAAGGTCACATCGTTGACAGTCTGGCAAATCTGTCAAGCCCTATTTGAACACTATGTCATTGAGAGATAGCTAATTCCGAAGCAATCACCAGGTAAATGAAAACTCGAGGTTGCTGAGATAATTGTTGCTTCTCTTGTAATGGAAAAAAACAGCTGTCCTGGTAATGAACGCGACAAAACGAATGAAACGCCGTCAGCATGATATGGCAATTACCTTAATATGATGATGATCTTGCACATCTTGAAATTTTTGGAATCCACGTTTTAAGAGTTATTTTTCCAAACCAGACTATAGTTTCTTTCAAAAGAAGAAAAAAGACAGAAGTAAGAACATCAGAGAAATTTTAACAAATGTAAGCGTCCATACTAAAAACAACATTAGAGTTTCGGATCGTTATTCTCCAGAAAACAGTCATACAAGATAAAAAATTTTGTGTTGTGCATGAGTCAAGGTAATTCTATCACAAATTCAAAGAGAGACATTACGATTTCTACAGAAGGTGGTAATTGTACCGATTCCCATTGAATATTTGCCGCCCAATGTATCAAACATAACTTGGTTTATGTGGGTTGCACAACGGAAAAAGTAAATAAAAGATTCAATGGAACAGACAGAATGACAGGAGAGTTCCATAAGAATTATACTAAGCTGTTTGATTAACTCCTCTTAGTAACTAATCAACTAACGGAAAATTTCAAGATGAACAAGATCACCATCATATTAAGAACGTTTCAGTTTCATGACTTCACAATGGCGGCGTTTCATTCGTTTTCACGCGTTTATTACCAGTACAGTCATTTTCCATTAAAAGATAAGCAACGTTTGTACAAAGGCTTATAATTTTTTGTAGATTTATATAGTTTTATATTTGATTTTTAAAAAAAATATATAACTTGAAGAAGACAGTCATATTGTCGAAATGTTCTTTAACATTGTCAAACGCTATGTTTTTTCTTTTCTTTTTTCTTAAATCGCGCTTTTCTTTTATCTGTTGAAAAATATTGGAAGAGTTGCGTCAATCATTTTACTTAATAATAATAATAATAATAATAATAATAATAATAATAATAATAAGGACGGCTAGGAAAAATTCGATAGAATGTAAAAGAGAAAATGTTAACAAAGTGTAAAGATTTGTTACATGCCTTCTCTCTGACTCTGAAAAGGGAAGCTAATGGATGTTATAAAAAACTGTCTTTAATCACATGCCAAACACCTCCTGTGGAAGAAGCTGTATCTACTCACAAGTGTTGGAGGAGATTTCCTCGTGGCGTCTACCTGAAGACTGTTTCTGTACAAACTGGACTGCATTCACTGGCCCATTAAGGATCAGATGACCAGTCTGGCCCGATCTATTCCAGTTGTAGAGGAGGAAGGAAGTTAACTCAGCAACGTCTTTACGTAGATTCGAACATACACGTACAGCACTATTAGATGCAAATGTGCCCCCTTTGATAGAATCATTTAAAATATTCACGGACAAATTTCCATATTCATCTTTATTTATATAGCAACGTTTCTTTGATAAAAAAAGATAAAGATTTTACTTAGAAATAATTATTAAATTGTAACTATATCTTGTATAAGAAATTCGTGTGGTCATGGAATGCACACATTTTAGAATTTACGTTATTTCCATTAGGACTAACGAAAATCTCTTCTTTACCTACGCGTTTTGTTCCCTGGAAGACAATTGTCAATGTAAATGTAAGGATTTTATTTTGCAACATTTATTTATAAACAGAATTAAAGTGGAAGAAAATATCGTCACGTTTTCAAAATTTTAAATTATATGACGCTCTAAAATATTCTTAAAGCTGTGTAAGTAAACGTAAACTACGTTCTGGGTATGACGATAAACTTACAGACGGCAGCAAGGTCTCTGATCGGGAGGTTTTGGGGAGTATGGAACCAACTCTTAATTGCTGTTGTTACCAGGTCTACCCTGATTCAGAGTGGTAACATCGGTTATAGTCTCTGATATGGGCAGATATTAACCCTCAAACCGGGGACAAAACACTACGAAAGTATAAAAATAGGTTTTTGTTAGTGAAAATACAAGCAAAGCATTTTTAGGTTAACAAAATACAAAGCAATAAATTTTTGAAAAAAAATTACCAGCATTACATTCGTCATTGCTCACTTATTCAGTTTATGGTATTCTCAGCATGCTTCTGTTGCTTCAAGATTTAATTCACTGCTATATAGGAGGATTGATATTACGTAACAGTTCAGTACCCCTTTTCTTCTAATGAGATTTTTCTATATATTTATACTTTGTTAGCTTTCGGAATGCACCTTCGGATTTTATTGTGTCACTTACAGTTTTTTTAGTTAAAACACTTCAAATTGTCGTACTTGTTTAATTTTGGTATCCCCGATTTGTAATTTGCATGTTGGGCTGTCCCTTTTGCTAACAACCATAAACTTAATCTTCTTGCAATTTATGTTTAATCTTTTTTTCTCGATTTCCTACTACCTTCTGTAGTCATTGCACTGTCTTTTCTGCATCAGCTATCAACACTGTGTCCTCTGCATGCCTAATGTTCTAAAGATTGTGGCTGCCAATAATGTATCCTGAAAAAAAAAAAAAAAAAAAAAACAACACTGGTTATCCAAGCTGAGAAACAAGAAATAACAGTATGTTTCCTTGGGTTAAATAAATGGTTCAGTGCGATATTTCCTGATAGTTACTCGAAATTAGAAACACCTGGAGAAGGTCTGGGAGAACATCGGCCGAAACAATGTGATAATAACAATAAAGAATATCCGTCATAATGTAAATAACGACATTTCTTCATTCCAGAAATTCATACAAGAATTAGATATTTTAGTTTTTGCAGTCTTTGCGGACTGAATTTTGGAATATTTTATTATCTGGCTTATATTTCTTTAGAAAGCTCCTCACAGACAAAGAAGAGTCAATAGAAATGTGGTTTTGCAGAATGTTACTGAGAATACCACGGACTGAACATGTGAGTAACGAGGAAGTTTTAAGGAAAATGGAAAAGATAAAGATGGTTGACCTCTCTAGGATTTATAATGAAGAAAGATCAATTTGACACTCGCAAGAGAACAAGAAGGTTAGAGAAAAGCAGTGAATAACTGTTATAGTGGAACAACCTATCACACCCCGACAGTGATTGGTCAGTCTAAAGAGACGTGAACGAGGAGAAAATAAAAGAGGTGACAAAGTATTGTAGTAGCAGTAACACTACGGGTCTCCGTGACGTATCTCCTGTCTTCCTTATTATTATTATTATTATTATTATTATTAATTTTCTTTGATTTCTGGTGTTTACACATTTCTTTCCGGGTCCCGGCCAGGAACCTAAGGTTAGAAATGGCATCATGACACTTTCCACTGACACACACACACACACACACATACACAAAAAATTACATAGATAAAGCCCTTCGTAAAGTGTGGGCTGTACTTGTCAGAACAATTTTTTGTATCTCATTTAGGCATAGACTTCCAGGAATCCCTTCAATTCGTCTACTGCAATCTTTTCCAACCAGTCCTAGGGCTCCAACTACAACAGGGATTGTTGATGTTACCATATGCCACATTTTTCGAGATTTCTATTTCAAGTTCCTTGTATTTTGACAGTTTTTTGAATATCTTCAAAGGCACATTGCAGTCAGCAGGGACTGTTATTATTATTAATATTATTATTATTATTATTATTATTATGAACTCTTAGTCATTGTACTTTCGGTACAATAAAAGCCATGTTATTTGTTTTACTTAATTCCTGTGTTTAGTGTAATCTTTCCACACGGAATTATCTCTTGTTGCTTATATCGTATTATCCACGATATAACAATAATCTACTAAACAAGCTTGTTTAGATAGATGGCAGAACAGGGGGCGATGATGAAAAGGCAAAGCTTATTAAGAGCTACAAAGAATAGAAGTTATGGAGAACCGTCATCGCCCACACCCGGAAAGGACATGTCTCATTGAAGGAGAAAAAGAATTAATTAAACAGCCAATAGTGTACTCGAAACACCGCATGAAACGAAGAAAAAGAGAATGGAAAAATAGATAGATAGATACGAACACACAGAAATAGATAGATATGGACAGACTGAGATAGATAGATAGATATGAACTGACTGAGATAGATAGATAGATAGATAGATACGAATACACTGAAATAAATAGATAGATATGGACAGACTGAGATAGATAGATAGATAGATAGATAGATAGATAGATAGATAGATAGATAGATAGATAGATATGAACTGACTGAGATAGATAGATAGATAGATAGATAGATAGATAGATAGATACGAATACACTGAAATAAATAGATAGATATGGACAGACTTAGATAGATAGATAGATAGATAGATAGATAGATAGATAGATAGATAGATAGATAGATAGATAGATAGAATAGATAGATAGATAGATAGATAGATAGATAGATACGAATACACAGAAATAAATAGATAGATATGGACAGACTGAGATAGATAGATAGATAGATAGATAGATAGATATGAACTGACTGAGATAGATAGATAGATAGATAGATAGATAGATAGATAGATAGATAGATAGATATGAACACACTGAAATAAATAGAAAATATGAAAATGCTTTTAAGTCACTTGCTGAGACGCTATTGCCTTTTTTTAAAAAGCAAAATGGTAGCTTCAAAAAATGGGGTACGAAATAAAGAACAAAAAAAAGCAATGAAAGTGAGGTAGCTTAATATTTTGAACATCAGCAGATCATTTGATCTATGTTAGTCTTTTATGAGTATAACCAAGGATAATAGCAGTGTGACGATTAACAAATAAAAGATAAAGCTTCCGAGAAAAAGATTGAAATCTGCGCCCTCATAGAAGAAAGATATAGCAAATTACCTAACGCCTGGTTTAATAGCCTCAATGGTGTTAATATATATTGGGTTTTATTTCATGTGGGCGGTACAGAACGAGATTTGTTGCAAATTTTGACATGAAGAAAAGGCGTTTATGGCCGGGGCCATCGACCTGCAGGCGTTAAACGACGGACAGATGGTAGGACGAAAAGACATTTTATTGGTCAGATCATAAAATGGTTGTTATCTAGTTAAGGCCCATACGCTTTGGTAGTCTACAGAAATGAAATTGAAAACTGTCTGGAAGGAGACATTTAGGAGGAATGACCGCGCTTTAATAATGCCGAAGAGAAGGTTATCTATCTATCTATCTATCTATCTATCTATCTATCTATCTATTCTGCTCATTTCCTATCTATCTATCTATCTATCTATCTATCTATCTCTCTATATATATATATATATATATATATATATATATCACACTCTGTCCAAATTTATAATCTCATTAGGAATTGTCTCAATTTGGTCGCCTTTTGACACACGAAATATACTTCATACTTTCGCTTTTCTTTCTCTGTCTTCAAGTGCAGGTTGAAACAAAAATTTCAATGTTGATTTTCAAAGCTGGCAGACACACCAGTTTTTGAAAATAATTGCAAGACAGTTTGCTTTTACAATTACGTTACGTTCGTTTTAGATTCTAGAGATTATTGATATTAAAATCTAATTTAGTTCAAACCAAAAGAATAAGAAACTAATATCTGAAACAGGAATTTACACATCTTCTTTTTCTTTATGTTCTTCAGAACGTTGGTTATCATGGCTCTTCACAATTTCCACGCCGAATTATGATGTCTGCCTGTCTCCCTATGATCTCCAATCTTTCCTCATTATGTTCCCTAGAAATTTCAACTGTTGCATCCTGGTGTTAAGTACAGTTGTCCTTTTTGTTGCTATTCTCTTTACAACTTCGTCGTTGTTCACATGTTCGGTCTATGGTTTTCTCAGTATCATTCTGTTGCTTCAGTTCCCTTCTTCATCTGTGAGGAGATTGTTCAACCTTCATTGGCATATAGGAAAATCGACATTGCATAATAGTTCAGTACTCTTTTCTTTGTTTCTAACGAAATTTTCCCGTTTCTTAATACTTTGCTTAGCTTTAGTGTTTTCAGTGTAGCACCTTCCTCCCTCTGTTAAAACTCTTTCCAGATATTTAAATTATTATACTTGTTTGATTTTGATAGCTATAATTTGTAATTCTCTAATCTGTAATTTGTTAACAACCATACACTCTGTCCTTTTGCAATTTATGTTTAGTCCTCTTTTTCTAGATTTCCTTCACTACCATCTGTAATCCTTGTACATTTTTTCTTTATCTGCTATCAACACTGTGTCATTCACATATCTTATATTATTAAGATTGTGACCACCAATAATGAATCCTGATAGGACTTTTAATTCTCACATAATGGCCTCACTGGAGGCACAGTGGAGTAATGGCTATCGGCTTGGATTGAGGAATTCCAGTCGAATCCTGGCTAATACTCTTGGGAAAGGTATGAATCCTCTTCTTCTCCCTCCAGCTATGGGTATATAGCAAGACAGACTGGGTTCTATCGCCTTGGATGGCAACTGGTCTAGTAGAAGGAAAAACTCTGAATTCAAAACCTGCGGAGGGTCATTTGGGGACCTTGTGGCACGTAGTGCACCAGGTCTCTGTATTTGGCCCTTCAAAAAGTGTGGATGGTCCTGCACGAAACCTTCACCACTATAATCAAATCTCATGTGCTATACATGCGGATTGGGGACCGCTTGTGAATTCCAAATTCCCATGAAACTCCAATATTGGAGCCGGCTCAACCCACCTCGAGTGAATGCCGTTACAAGAAAGAAGCCTCACTGTATAGGTTGAATAAATGTGATGAGAAGAATATCTTTTTAAAAAATATTTTAAAAAGGACGCACTACTCAGCGTATTTCCGTTGTTTTCTTTTTTTAATTAAGCTGTTATTGATTGTCTTGCTTTTATTTTCCAGTCAAGGATATTCAGGAAATAAGGAATAAGCATCTACACCTGTTCAAAAGTCGAAGGAAAAACTTGAACCGAACGATAGTCTCACACTCCTCTACTGTCTTTTGAAAAAGTGTAGAAGTTTAGATCTTGTTTAGGATTGGGTTTCCGATTCCTTCTAAAATCTACTTCATCTCTATAATCCTAACGTCTGTGTCTTTCTACGTTAACTCCCCCGGTAACCCCCTGCCTTGCGTGGCTCTTGGGCCTCGTATTGCGTAAACATTAGTAAAAAAGAAAACGGTTAGGATTCAAATCACTATCAATACAGGAAAGAGCGATAAAGGCTACTGGACTTGAAAAAATCTATTTTGAAAAAAGTTTTTGAAGGAAAAGATTTTATAATTTTCAAACGAAAGCAGTACTGGCTGCTCGGTCAGTGAATGCTGAATGTTTTCTTGTCGGGAAACGTCTTGACGGTACACTTCGTAATCAGTACTGGAAAGAGCGATAAAAGCTACTGGGCTTGAGAAAACTATTTTCTTGAAAAAAATTATTATGAGAGAAAGATTTAAATATTTTAAACGAAAGCAGTACTAGCTGCACGGTCAAGGAATGCCGACTGTTTTCTTGTAAGGAAACAGCTTGAAGGAATCCTCCACCAATACTGGAAAGAGTGATAACAGCTACTGGACTTGAGAAACTTATTTTGAAAAATTGTTTTATAGGTAAGACTTTATAAATTCCAACCGACTAAACAAAAACAATGTAAAACAAACGCATAATTTATATTATTTACATTGTTCGCACTGTTGTCCTCATCTTTTTTGTCCTCAAGGACACATGGACCAGTGAAAAAAAAAAGCTTTGATTGGATCCAGAGACTTGACGCAACAAGTTATTAGTTCCGCGGTGAACAAAATCTTGAAAAGTTTAGTTAAAGGGAGATAGTTACCTCCCTTTAACTAAACTTACCTAAGTCACGTGGAACTAGAAACATCTACCCCTGTAGACAAAATAAATGGTTCAGTTCAAAATTCCAATCACCTGAAGACGGCCGGAGCGTACAACAGCCGAAACGGTAAATAATGTAAATAATAACGTTACCGCGTCTCAGAAATATAGACAAACGCATAATTACTGTGATACCCAAATTACAAACTAAAACTTTAAACCTCAAGCTTGAATGTTACCAAGATAGACAGACGTAGAGATAATAACAACAAAGAAGGGTTATTAATCCGCCTGTAATTAATGTAAATATTGATAACTCATCATGCCAGGAATTCAGAGCAAAGTAGGAGTTATTGTAGTTTTTTTCTGTGTCTTCTCTCAACGCTGTCATTTGCATATATTATAATATGATAACTGTGAACACTAGCAATAAATCCTTGTAGGACTTCTAGTTCTCTCAGAATCGCCTCAGTGTAGAGGTTGAATAAGTCTGGTGTGAAAACATCCTTGTCTTACACCAGGTTCTTTTTTCCTTTTCCTTAAGAAAATCTACCTTTTTGTATCCTAACATTTGATATTTAGTCCTTTCTTCTGGCTTTCCTTTTCCACCTTCTGTAGTTCGTTTAGTTTCCTATCAACACTGTCATCTGCATATATTACAGTAGGACTTCAAATTCTCTCAGAATCACCTCACTGTATATGTTGAATAAGTCTGGTGAGAAGACATATTTGTTTTTCTCTTTTAAAAATATGTATTTTAAAAAAGAAACACTGCTCAGCTTTCTTTTTCTTTCTTTTTTTTTTTTTTTAAATACGACTGTTATTGCTCGCCTTGTCACCATTACCTTGCCCATGGATAGATTGAACACTTAATTACTATCATACAGTATTTACAAACCAAAGCTCAAGCCTGAATGTTACCAGGATAGACGAGACGTAGTGATAATAACAACAAAGATGGGTTCATTAATCCACCTGTAATTAACGTAAATATTGGCCAGAGTTATAAATAGCCCATTGGTAGATGTTTGAATATTAATTTCTCTTTCTTTCATATTTATTTTCATCAGTCACTTGAAGATACTTCCATCCATCTCACTTCTGATTGATCCGCCTCGCTTATGTTATTTTTAAATCTTCAACACATGTCTTATAAACTGACTTATATGATTCTATAAGTTATTTTAATATCACATATATAATTTTAAGTTAGCATAGCTGGCTTACAGCAACATCATATTGAATCATCGATTCCCGTACGATCATCGGTTAACCAACGTCAAGCCTGGATAGTGATTTTCCAAGCGTAGCTTAGATGTGACACAAGGCCGAAAGAATGAACTCACTACTCACAGCGTCGAGTCTGGATAGTACCCAGATGGGTGACCGCTTGGGAATATCAAATGCTTGGATGTGCGGATGGTGTAATGGAATTGTGAATCGGAGATACGAGTCCCGATTCCCGTTCGGTTCATTATATTCACTTACGCACAAATACACTTGGGAAAGATATGAATCCACCTCTTCTCCCCCAGCTAGGGGTTAATTAGTAAGACTTCTATCACTAAATGATTATTAATTCAAAAAATAAAAATTGCATACAAATAATTAAATTACCCATATAGATGTTGAGATGTCGTTAAACAAAACATCAACATTATTAACACTATTGTCCTCATCTTTGTCGCCATATTTATCACGCTCCGGCCTTCTTCAGGTGGTTGGAACTGAACCCTTTTTTCGCTCATTGGGGTAGACTGTTCTAGTTTCACGTGCCAAATTTAATGGATGTCAGTTATCAGTTATCTCCTGTTAATTTCCGTCTGAAAGTTCTCCACAGCCTTAACCGGGTATTGAACTCACATTCTTTGGGTCCTGTCACTGGATCTAACCAACGTCTTTATCCACTGTGCCATGTGTCCTTGAGGAGATCGAGGTATGAATTTCTGAGTATTATAAATCTAATCTCTTCAGCAACTATTTTTACCAGTGCTCATATTGCAATTTTGCTGTTATCATTACATGTTTTTACCAGAGCTCATATTGCAACTTTCTGGTTAACATTGCTTTTCTCTGGCACTCCATATTGTGGAACCCCAGTGAGCGAAATAAAGGGTTCAGTTCGACATTCCAACCACCTGAAGAAGGCCGGAGCGTACAACGGCCGAAACGTTGTGATAAATATGGCGACAAAGATGAGGACAATAATCCGAATAATGTAAATAATGTACATAATACCTCATCTCAG